CCTCCCTCCCTCCCTCTCTCTCTCTCTCTCTCTCTTTCTCTCGCTCGATGTAACACGCACACACGCTACGATATTCACAAATTCTCTCGCGTACCCATAAGTACTCACTCACGCGCAACACGCAGGCACAACTTACGTATAATATACTATATGGGAACTCTAATATCTAAATCATATGTATATATAAATATATATTTTACCTATATGAAAAGCATCAGTCTCCATGTGCTAGTGACTGCCTCAGTGCTCCATCTGGCTCCTTCTTTATCTACAAAAATCAATAAGCGCTATCGTAATGCGGCTTGTGTGCACGTATGTGAATGTCTATGTGTATGTATGTTGTGTTAGTGTATATGTGTACGTGTGTCCTATACGTGTGTACTCAGGCTACTTTCTTCACGATTCAGACCGGACCACTGAGACCGTCGCAGCGAGCATTTCATATAATACCGGAAAATATATATTTTCGTGTAAAAAAAATAATCACACTTCTTAAGAATTAAATACTTTTAGCAGCTGACGACTTGTTCTGAGTAGTAAAATTAGCGCACGCATACACTAATCAGTCGAGTTCCATTCCATGGTAATGCGAGCGAAATTAGCTCGTTTAGCATAAGCACGATTTGTCTCTTCGTTTCGTCTGTCTTCCTATCTTATACAGAGTGGTACGTTTGGCAGTGAGGACATGTCAAGAACGGGTAAAATCTTTGTACCACGTGCCACGTGCATTAAAATAACCTCGTGACATGGACAGCGTATGTAAAGATTTTTCTTGTCTCCTATTATTAGTTCAACATTTTGGCCCCATCAGAGCTTTAGACATATCGAGTTATTGCGCACGTAACATTTAATAATTATAACGCGTTGCCTTCAAAATAAGACGCATCGACGTTCAAAAGATAATGGCAATTTTACACGACATATATATCTACACATACATGCTGTGCTCGAAACAACGTATTATTTACATCTTATCGGCGTCTTTTTCTTTCCAATTTTTCCTTCCATGTTCAATCCCGACAAAAAAGAAAAAAAAGGGGGGAAAAAAAAGTCTCAAATACTCGTAAATCCTGATATTGTTGCTTCCGAATATTCAGCATTTTTTCTTAATGCACGACTTCTCCAAATTGCGCCGATTAAGTAAGATATTATCTGAAGAACGGCAATGAGGGGGGAAATAACGTTTTATCCTTTGCCCTCACTTTAAAACAGTAAAAACCTCTCAGCAACGCGTCACCGAATTTTCTCTCTCGACGTAACAATCATCCCGACGACGGATATTCTCGAATGTTACCAGTGCGCAATCGCTCAGAACATATAAGTAGATTTGTTTTACAGTCTTAAGTCACATCCGGGAGTGGTTAGTCATCGGAGAGTTTCTCCGTCTTCATAGATAAAGGTATTTAATTTTCCGTGGCGACCGGGGTGACGAGCGGTGCGTCGCCCTGGCCCTTCTCCGTGCTCTTCCCGTTCTCCGTAGCGTCATCGAACTGACCCGGCACCGGTAGCGCTTCCTTCGCCGAGTTCATATTCGGAATTGTCTCGCTGAGAACAGTAACGGGCGTTTACAATGTCTCTATATCAACCTTTGGAAAGTAAAGGGTTAATTAAATATATGTGGTAATTAATAGGGGTGTGCGGGTACCCGGGAATTTCAGGTCAGGAAGCATCGGGTATTTTGATCAGGGTCTGGTCGTGGGACCAGTGATGGGGATGATCGATTTCGAGCCCGGGCCCACCAGCGTTTTCCTCCTCCTGCGTGCATGTCACACCGATAGACAGAGCGTCTGTGTGCGTGAAAGGGGAAAACGCGGGCCCGAGCTCGAAATCATATTACTGACCGGGATACCAAAAATATCCCTCTCTCACATACGTGACGCATCGGAATACTGAAAACATCATACGACGCATACGACGAATCGAGGAGAATCATGTACACACATACAAACCTCTCGAAGATTCGTACATAAGCTTACGAAAAGTCGTCCAATTGTTCCCCACCCATCCCGTCCGAGTTTTGTCGACCAGACCCGAAACTCGAATCCCTGCGACTTCCAATACGAGCAACCTATACAGCACACAAGCTTGCAGCAACATTGCTGGAAGTTTCTGTGCTATATGGGCACGATCCCTAGAAGTGAGCTTTAGAAATCCCTAGAAATTTACTCTCTGCAATGATCGAAGCAAGTTCATCGGTATTAGCAGAGATTCGAGATGCTTATTTATATTTAACCTTCTCGTGACAAATGGCCATTATAGTGGCCGCTCACGAAACTGTCCCTCTATACAAATGGCCACTGTAATGGCCGCTCGCTAAACTGTCGCTATGGCCACTACAGTGGCCGCTCGCAAAATTTCCGTGTGTAAAAATTGTTATTAACGACAGCAAAATCAAAATGAAATCCTGGCCTGGAGATCAAACTCCGCCCTGTCTGCCGTGTAATGTACACTTGCGTCTCGTTCTTCCGTTGCAGTTTCTAGCGAAAAGGCGGTCAACTTTTCGCCGTTGTGAAAAGGTTAACGTGGTTCGTGGCACGTGTCATCATGGACTCCGAGTTCGTGCCACGTGTCATCATGGACTCGTTCCCAACGTTTCATGAACATTTCAATTCACTTCTATGTATATAAAATTATATAGGGATGTTTTTTACATTTATAAGTATATATAGACAGCTATTAACTAAGCGGCAGTGAAGTGGAGTAGGAAAGTATCTCATGAAATTTTCGAGAAGTTTCCGGAAAATTCTATAACTCCCTCTCTCCTCTCTTCACAGCCGCTATTATAACAGATATGCCCCACCATGCACTCAGATTTCAAGCTTGCTAGCATTTTACTCCCTCTACTATTTTACATACACTCTCTTACACAAGGAAGTCCTTGCGCAGGAGCGACAGTTTCGGGTTGCTATTCTTCTTGAACGGATGAATCGAAATACTCACGAAACGTCGGAAACGAATCCGTGAGTGACTAGCGGTACTAACGCGGAAGCTGAATTAAACATTTCTAATCCGCGAAAGCCTAAGATATCACCGCTTACTTATAATCGGTAATCCCGTCGATAGTGATACCGCGACCTTTGCCGTCTTTTTTCTCGATTTCCTTGGTTTTCTTGATGGTGGTCTTCTTCTTGCCAGTCGTCTGGAAAAACAGTAATCGGTACTGTTTGTTATAAGCCTTTCCCCTCCCGCGAGCGAGTCGAAGGTAAAGAACCGAGAAGATTTACCTTCATCTGCGTTTTTTTACCACGCCCGGCAATCGGAGCACGGCTGTTTCCGCGTGTGTGAAACGTCGGCCGACCCATCGGATTGAAGCCACGTGGAAGACTGTATTTAAGCCCACCGATAGAAGTTACCTATAACAAAATCACCGGAATTTTGATACACGAGGAATTAGTAAGTCGAACACGTTGCTTATCGTAGCATATATCTCAACGATTTTTTGCACAACGGGATCAATTTTATTTGTATATGATTTTATATGATATATATGTGTATATATATATCACACAAAATTTGCAACAGAGGTCGTCGTCGACATGAATGTATTGCTTTATTTTATATGCGACGCGAGAGAGAAGCATCGTTAATTGTGAAATGCTTCTTGTATCATCCTATATCTGCCACGTGTCTTGCAAGCAATACTTACCCTTCCGCTATGATCTTCTACTCTATATTTCTTTGTACAACTAACTATGAAGTTAGGATATAAAGATATAGGAGATAAAGTTTTTTTATAAGTCTCAACTTTCGATTCTAATATTGATAATAATAACATTTATTATCAAATTACGAAATTTTTCTCAATTTGATGAATAATTTAAGATATATATTAAATTAAATTGACACATACCGGAGTAAGATATACTTGATATAGACATTTATACACACAAAATTTATCAAAAATAAAAAATATATATCTTTTCCTTAATATAGGTAATATAGATTATAAAGTTGAATGTATGATTAATCTGATTCATTAGATGACTCGTATACGAGCTGCAACTATATTATTCGTACGATTGTTTCATTATTTGGTAATGCATTATTCAACTATTTGGTTGCTAATTCGATTGTTGCTTAAACTCGCAAACGGAACAGAACTTAAAATAAGGAACACCAGAGTTAAAATACTAGGAATTAAAATATACAGAGGTCTTTATTTTAAGTATTTATACTTACATATAAAAAACATGCAAATATACGATGATACAAAAAATAAGAACATAAAAGGTAAATAAAAAAGGGACACAAGTTTCTTCACAAATAAAAGTTTCCATATCGTAGGAAAAGGGTTCTAACGGTGCGGCGAAATATATAACGCATAAAATCCCTGCAGTATTAAGGCCCAGCCATATCTCTCATAATGTCGATCGTAGTCGTACAGAGAGAAACATCGTCGCCGGTATTATTTATCTACAAATCATAATGCATCGCAAGCTGCATATCGAGAATTGATGACATTTTAACCACTTCTCCTAAAGACTTCTCATTAGTCAATCTCTAATAATATTTAGAATTTCACACTAGAAAATTTGACCATATCTCCGTGATATATCTTAAAATCTGGCTGACTTAAAATTTACCACCGCTATGTCCTTCGTCTGTGCTGTCTTGTATGTTGTAACCCTGTTGAAAAAGAAAACCAGGTAGGAATCCATATAGGAAATCCATATGGAACCTCAAGGTTGTCCTCTGGAGATTTACGCAAAAACTCAGATCCTAGGTAGCAATCCATGTGAATTCCTATATGGATTTTTAATATCTTACATGGATTTCTCCAACTTCATTATTACCTTTCATACCGCTTCATTATGTAAAATTGGCTGCTTCCGAAATAGGCAAACCAATCCCTATTACTTGTCATAATTATCAATCTCTTTTATATTATCTAAACTTACATTCTCTATTAAGGGGATGTTGAAGTGCCAGAATTCATCGGAATTAACCAGAATTTTTGGAGCAAACTATTTTCATTTCTGGCTAGATAGAATCATAAACCCTTTTGCATGCTGATAGTACATACGTTAATGTAGCCCAGTCTGATTAACTTTACAAAACGAGAAAAAGTTTAAGAATTGTAGTTCTTATTTTAACATGGTGTTTAGAGCTATCAACCAAAGATAATATTTGCTTCATACTCAAGTTCTATGAGTTACGCGTACAAAGGAAAACCAAGGAGTACAAACTGCGCCCTAAAATATTATTCAATTGTCAGAATTAAACTCAGAAGCCTAATTTTAAAAAATAGTTTGCCTGAAAATGCGGTATCAATGTGTGCGGTATATTATACTGAAAAAAGCATTATAGGCACTATTGCGTTTTAATATGTGTGTACACACTAATGCTCGTATGAACGTAACAGCAAGAGGCTTAATTAGATAAAAACTGATTATCAATAATTTTCGTTCTCTGTTACTCGTGCATAATGGCACATATATGTCTAATAGCACCGATAACGTAATATTGGCCTTATTACCGATACTCTTGGAACAACTCCGATATCCCCTTAATTAGAAGAATTAGAAGAATTATTGTTGATTTTTTTTTCGATTTTTAAAGTTCTCAATTATTTTGTGCATTCCCGGAGAAATATAATTACACATGAATTTTGTCTCTATATGTATGTGCATATATATAATTATATATGTTATATTATATATATATATATATTAGATATAATTATATGTAATTATATATGTAGTCATATAGAGACAAAACTCATACATAAAAATCATATATATATATATATATATATAAAATATATATATATACATTTTTCCTGTGTTATCCGGATATCTTAGAGAGACTGAAACTTAATATTCATTCAAGATATTTTAGACATTTTCCAGTATTTTATATAGAATATTATAGAACTTCTTGTGCTAAATTTAACGGTATTAATAGACTGTATGTCTTAGCCATGAATATTCA